CAGATGATGCCTCTCACAAACAAAAACATACCAACACACTAGCAAACATGTACACAAGAGAACACAAACATAAACACACCAGCAAACATACAGGTACACAAAGTAGAACACACCAGCAAACATACAGGTACACAAAGTAGAACACACCAGCAAACATGAAGGTGTCCACCTCATCCCTGATCTCCAGCGGGGTCAGTCCCTTGCCTTCCTCGTCCCGCGCTGTGAGCAGAGTGTCCAGGAAATCCCGCGCTTTTCTGGTGCTGGTCGCTGCCGGGTTAGCAGCCTGAAAGAATGGTGAGAGGGTGGTGAGAGGATGATGGTAGAATGGTGAGAGGCGAGGGTGGTGAGAGGGTGGTGAGAGGGAGATGGGAGGATGGTGGTAGGATAGTGGTATGATGGATAGTAGTTTGATGGGTGGTGGGCGGGTGGTGAGAAAGAGGTGAAAGGATGGGCATGATGGTGGATATCCATCTTTCTTTGACCCGCACAGTTTCCTGGCATTAAATAACACCTCGCCACCCTAGAATTACCAAGTTCAAAAAGCTGCTCAGTTCCTAGTTGTTGTTTTTTAATTGGTGTTAAGACGATAACATAATTTATTGAGTTTCACAACATGTCAAGCTTTTTCTAATGCAATACTTTGAATATCTCGATAACGACTACGAATAATATTACAATTTTGATAGAGCTGATAGAATATAAATTGGTTTCTGGCCTCGTGGTCTGAGTAACTCAAAACGGCCAAAAAAGTCAGATACACCTGTATAAGTTAGTAACCTGTCACTGTCAGGGTGATCCCCATCGCCCACCAACATTACCATTAAGAAAGCCAGCAAGTGCAAGATCTCTGAATATGATTTTACTACAATTAATGAAATGTATAACATCACAAGTATAAAAAAGATAAAAAGCATTATAGACGACCAATAACACCCCCTTTCCGTGCAAATTGTAAGATCACGCAGCGGAAGATATGTACTTCTAAATACAAAGAAAGAGAGATATAAAAGAAGATATGTTTTTTTACTATCTAGCATAAGGCTATTGTCAGAACAAGCATCAATGTGTATTGTTCTTTCAAATATGTATCTATATAACTCTAAAGGTCTTGTAATTAAATTCCTGCATGTGGTAGAGTGATGCATCTGTGATATGTACATTTTGTCAGCTTAACTTCTCTTTTCATGTAGAATTTTAATGAGCGTAATATTCATGAAATTTAGATTTGTATGTACACCTGCATTTGTTTTTACTGTCCTGTACAGCCAAGGAAAATTTTTCTCTAGGCCCTGGGATAATAAAGGAGTATCTTATCTTACCAGATCTCTCACTGGAGGGTGACCCGGCCAGGTCGGCAAGCACTGCTGGTGTGGAGGAAGAGTAAAACTCACGGTTTTCCTGAACTAATTTTCTCTAGGCCCCGTAATTCTTGGGTAGCGAGGTGTTATTGAATGCCAGGAAACTGGGCGGGCCAAAGAAAGATGGATATCTACCAACACGTTCATCCTTTCACCACCCTCCCACCACCCTCCCATCATCTTCTCACCATCCTATCATCTTGACTTTCGTTCTATCCATCAATGTTTTGACATTATTTTGCCACTTGTGTGGGAGATAACAATTACTATTAAGCGCAAAAGCGAGCGGGACCACTTAATAAAGATGCACGTAAGATAATATTTAGGACAGGTAAGCCGCAAAACAAAAGAATAGAGGTGCACACTATAAAACAGCTGTGCACTACAAATAAATACTGCAACAAGACATTCTAAGATTAACTGCCACATTATTCATCCTGTCGCTTTGTCGTGTGTCAGACCATTATGTGAGTGGCATAATTGGGACGTGGAGGCATTTCTAATGTCAGTATAATATCGTGTCGGTGAGAAGCCAGGATTGGAGTTTTGGGATGAGTTAGGTGCTGAAGAAAGAGAGAGAGGGTGGGGTTGTTGGATACTGTTGTACTGACAGAATGAGTAGATCATTGGATCAATACATGAATCCATGTCTCTCGTGTAAATGGGTTCGAAACCCACTCTGGTGTTCAATTTGTTTTAGTTACTCTGTAATGCAGTAAACAGGTCATTTGTCTTTTATTCTTATTTTTTCCCGATTTTCTTTGTTTAGGTGTCTTATGTCCAGATGACACGTTCAATGTGTTGTTGGTTGGGTAAACACGGGCTAAAAAGGATATAACATCCCAGCAGAAACGCCGAGATTTTCGATATAGTTCCCCCCCCCCCTCCCCCCACTCGGGAAACGGCTCTTGTTGACAACCAACCCGCACAGACTTACCATCTCTCGCTGTCTGCTGGCGATGACGCGCTCGGCCTGACGATGTGCTACGTCACACAGCTGGTAGAACCGCCGGCCCTCTGACGTCAGTAGGTAGATGGACTCCAGGTACAGGAGGGGCTTGCTGGACATAATAATACAGGCGTAAGCTGGAGTAAACAGGTGTTTTTAAAAAAGAACAAGACAGGTGTGAACACACTCGACAATTTGTTAGACAGAACAATACAAGTGTAAGTTTTGTTTTAGTAAGAGTTTTACGGCACTTGCAACACAATAAGGTCATTTAAGTGCCGAAGAAAAGAGGTGTTACAAGACAGTAACATACACAAAAAAGAAGCAGGAGAGATAAGGACGATAGATTTTTGAGAGGAAAGAAGAAGCAAACCACACCAGAGCACCCGCCCACCTACATACAAGTGTAAACACACTCAACTATTTATCATAAAAGAACAAGACAGGCGTAAACATGCTTAGTTGCTATACTACATACTGACTTCTGGGGATATACAGTGAGCTTCTATTAGATAAAAACCAAGGTGTGGGATAAGGAACAAGAGGATAACAGAAACTGAATAGATTAGAATAACAAGTTGAGTGTAACCTGATGTCAACTAGTTTATATCGTGATATCAACTCGTTAAAACCTGATCTCAACTAGTTGTAATCAGATGTCAACAGTTATAACCTGGTGTCAAGAAGATATAACCTGATGTCAGCTAGATATAACCTGATCTCAGCTAGACATAACCTGATGTCAACAGTTATACCCCGATGGCTGTTACATGAAGCGCCCCATGCTAAAGCCTGAAACAACAACCACTATTTCCACATGTCGCTACTTAGCCCTTTCAGTGTTGAAGCATTTTTCCTTTATGGCTATACAGACAAGACAAATTATGTTCTCACAAGAGAGGTTTTTCAAAGGCCAAAATAAAGTTCCCCTTTCAGCTGTCGACAATACATTTTTGTAGGTGTTTTAGGGTGCTTGCAGAAGATCATACGAGTGCACGGGACACATATTAAACATTTTCGGTTGGTAGGAAATGTTTAATTTTGTCCGGGTGGCGGTCGAAGCCTATTCCTATCGATTATGGACCACCAGGGATCTTGAACGTGCGCTACTTACGCACGGGACCTCCGAAATTGTTCGCCCTTGTCCGAGATGGCTAAGTGTAGATCTTTCCTACCAGAAGATCAGGGGTATGGCTGAAAGACAGCTGTAAGAAGGAACAAAGGAGTAGCAGTGGAAAGGCTGCAAAAAGAGTCAGAAGCCCACAGGAAGGGGTAGGGGCAGAAAGTGGAGACGAAAGCAGACGACAGAACATTGCTAGGGAGCAGGAAAGGAAGTGAAAGGAGACAATTTTAGAGAAGAAAATGTTCCGTTGCTACCCAGATTCAAACCCGGGACGTTTGAGTGAGAGATGAACACCTTAACCTTCTAGGCCACGAGAGCCCCTCGATAATACATGTTTAACATTTCTATAAACCAGCAATAATGATGTTAATAATAATAATAATAATAACATGTCAGTGAACTAGTTAAGTAGGACACACATTATGAGCACATAATATGTCTACACTGCAGTGAAGGGGTAAACAACAAATCAGATATTAATTAATTATGAAAGTCGTCCGCCTTTGCACCATTCACAAAAGCCAGACCCAAAGCTGTGAATAGCGAGAAGGTTCAACTCACAGAGTCCTATGTGCCCATCGGTTCTGGAGCTCGGAGATCGCTGTGGTGTACTCGCTGTCCTCGCTGGGGAAGATTGGAAAGAGCGACACGAGTTATGTTTGTTTTTTGTAAGTCAGTGTTTTACGGCGCTCGCAACTGCATAAGGTTATATGAGCGCGTGGGACACATTAAACTTTTTCAGTTGGTAGGAAATTTTGAGTTTTGCACAGGTGTCGGCCGAAGACTACTCTTCGACACGAGTTATTTCCCCGCAACACTGATGCGCATGGCCTGTTTTCAGACTCGTCTCTGTACAACAGTATTATGGTTGAGTGGTAGCACTGCACTTCCACACGCGTTGAAAGGATCTTTTGAAACTGGGTGCAGTACTTTCCTGAGGGATATCTTTCCTGTTGAAAGGAGTGACTAACAAGTGCGCAGAGGGCACTCTGTTGTAGGCTCAACCGTTGGCCCCCACATTAACAAATAGATAATTGTGTTGACGGCGAGCTGCCGTTGGCAGTCCTTTATAGGTTGAGTGTCTTATTTCAATCTCAGACACTACTAAACGCACTGCCTGTTACGAAAGCGTAAACACACACACACACACACACACACACACACACACACACACACACACACACACACACACACACACACACACACACACACACAGAGACAGAGAGAGAGAGAGAGAGAGAGAGAGAGAGAGAGAGAGAGAGAGAGAGAGAGAGAGAGAGAGAGAGAGAGAGAGAGAGAGAGAGAGAGAGAGAGAGAGAGAGAGAGAGAGAGAGAGAGACTTACACCTGGCAGTTTGAATTGTAGGAAAACGCACAGCGAAGAATGACATCGAGGGTGTACTTGTTCACGAGAGGTTGGAGGTCGAAGCTTTTCCCTTCTTTGGCTGCCTTGAGCATGTTCTCCTAGAACAAGATGGTTGAAGAAAAGAACGAAGAACTTACACATTGAGGAGGCTCTTCTCGACCACTTTTGACAGACAAAAAGACAAGCTGTTATAGGGGCTCTTTATAAAAGAAGCATACTTTCCTTATTCTGATATTATTGACGCTTTTGACCTTCCCTTGAGTGATTTTGAGTTTTGGTAAAGGTGCAAAGAAGGCCGAGGCGTTGTCATATTATTATTTACTTGGCGTCTTTATTACTAAGTCACCCAGTAGGCTATAGCCGGACTAAATCGTGGGAGCATTCTGCCTACGTTTACGTTTGTACAAGTGATTATCTTGAAGCAGAAGGGTATAGCCATGGTATGTTTTCACGTAGTTCTTCAAGATGCCCCTCCCCTCCCATTCCCCCACCCCAACCCTCACCTGAAGCAGAAGGGTATAGCCATGGTATGTCTTGATGTAGTTCTTCAATATATCCCCCCCCTCCCTCTCCTCCACCCCAACCCCCAACCCAAACCTTTACCTGAAGCAAAATGGCGAAGTCATGGTATGTCTTCACGTAGTTCTTCAAGATGTCAAAATGGAAGGCCGGAGTGAGCAGACGACGGTTGCGGCTCCAGCGAGCCCCGTTGGTGAGAATCAAGCCCTCGCCCAACCAGCGCACGCCCATGTCATAGCTGGAGGCCAGGAGGCCCAACCTCCGGGGTTTGGACGCTGCAAGGAAGGAAAGTCGCAATGATTCCTGGTATGGGAAGTTACGTTACTAAAGTTTCAAGGATTCCTATTCTGGATAGTTAGGTTCCTGGAGTTTCAATGATTCCTAGTCTGGGTAGTTAGGTCCCTGAATTTTCAATGATTCCTTGTCTAAGTAGTTGGGTTACTGAAGTTTCAATGATTCTGATCCTAGTCTGGGTAGTTAGGTTGCTAAAGTTTCAAGGGTTCCTATTCTAGGTTGTTAGGTTATTGAAGTTTCAAGGATTCCTATTCTGGGTAGTTCCTGAATTTTCAAGGATTCCTACTCTGAGTAGTTGGGTGACTGAAGTTTCAAGGATTATAGTCTAGGTGGTTAGGTTACTAAAGTTTCAATGATTCGAATCCTAGTCTGGATAGTTATGTTGCTAAAGTTTCAATCATTCCTATTCTTGGTAGTTAGGCTCCTGAAGTTTCAAGGATTTCTAGTCTGGGTAGTTCAGTTACTGAAGTTTTAATAATTCCTAGTGTGGATAGTTAGGTTACTACAGTTTCCAGGATTCATAGTGTATTTCATAAAGACGATTTCATTTGACGATAATTCTTTGCGATAGAAGAATTGGATGTTACAAGAACTGGCTGTCGTAAATTTAAGGAAATCATGGCCGAAAAGACAATGTTAGTGGTAAAGTCCAAAAACAAAAATAACAAAAAGAAAAACCCACCCAATAGATTGATAGATAGATAGATAGATAGATAGATAGATAGATAGATAGATAGTAGTAGTAGTATAAGGTTTTACGGCGCTCGCAAATGCTAAGGTCATATGAGCGCGCGAAACACAAGTTGTTCAGCTTTGCAAAAAGCTCACTTCAC